TGGGGACAGTTATGACCTTTGCACACAAATGGGGACAGTTATGACCTTTGCACACTCATGGGAACAGTTATGACCTTTGCACACTTGTAGGGACAGTCTGAATAGTTATGACCTTTGACACATTCTCAGTATTTAAGGTAGCGCTGAACTCCTGATATCTGGCTGGGTTTGCTCAGTATTCCTTTGGAAGAAAACAAAATCAAACAAAACAGTACCAACCAGGCCCCATTTCTTCATGGGGTCTATGGCCTCAGTGAGAGAGGTACACAGGAAAAGCAAAGCGGCGTTACGGCAACAGCACAGCCTACACAGGCTCCATGTCCTGGTGCTTCCGACTTGCAGAGTATGCCAGAACAGGTCTTTTGTCTTTCCGGGGTTAAGAAGACAGCCCTAGATGAGAGCCAAGGAGCCCAGTACTGTGTGTGGGTGGGACAAGTTCAGGGTTGCTCAATGAGAACCATAGTCCCTCATTTGCTGTTGAAGTCCCCTACTGTACCTGCAGAAGTCCTGGGCGCTGGAGACAGAGACTTGCAGAGGGCAAAGGGAGATAGATGCTCGTCAAGGGACAGGAAGCAGTCCTGTTGTTCTGGGAAGCACTCTGCCCTCGGCCTCTAGGGCCCTTGACTCTCAGCTTAGGCCAACCGATATATTGACTGGAATCCTTCCCCTGTAGGATGCTGAGGCTTTCCACTTGTACCATAGTATCCACTCACCCCAGAGACATCAATGCAGGCAAGAGGCAAAGATGGTATAGTTGGGAGCAGTGTTTTCTAGCAGGGAGCTCCGCAGTAATGGCGGGAAGGGCCTGGGGATCCTCTACTGGGAAAGCCTGTTTGGTGGCGTTGTCCTGTCATTTCTTGGCTAGAGACAACTTCATTTTGCTGGTAGTATTCAGCTCTACCATATCTGATAAGGGGAGAAGAAAGTCAGGATTCCGAGGGTCTGAATGATCTCCTCCTGGACTCACTGCCCACAGGTGAGGCTGGGGTGGGGTCCAGGTTGCTTCAAGTTCCTATCCTGATCTCACTCTCATTCCTGGGCCGTTTGCCATCTGCTGGGAGGTCTCATGATGGGTCTGTGAATTCATTTGTGCTGGGCCAGTGTCATTTGCCAAAGGGGACAAGCTTATTATCTTTACATTAGGGGGACTAACAGTCCGTTTCCAGGAAACCTCTGAGAGATAAAAGTAAGTGGGCTGTTTTATTCTCCTTGCTGAGAGAAACTGGCATGAGGGACAGGCAAAGCCTTTGTCTCCTCTGGTGAGTCCTAGTGGCAGAGAGCAAGGTAAATCAGGTAGCCAGCCTCCTGCTCCTATGGCGAGCAGTTCAGGGAGGATGTGTCCAGTCCTAAACCGGGAAGAAAAAAAGTTGGATCATCCTTCTATCTGCGCTGTGTGTCTCATACTACTGAGTCCATCCTTCCCAAGGGCCCTCCTGCCCCATCTACTCTCAAAAGCTGAGCACCAGAGAGCATATGCTAACATGAAGCTTGGCAACATTGAATTTGTTAACTTCCCCGGAGATGGTGTCACTCAATGCAATAATTCTTGTTGTATAGTTATGGGCTCTGTTTCTGAAATGAATTAACATTTCTAGTCATCAGGGAAAAGCAGGTGCAGATCTATTGAAGACACACAGGGTGCATCAGTAATGTGGACCACATCCACAGCAGACCCCGAACTCCCACGTGAATCCTGCTGTGTGTGGATGACCCCAGTTCTTGGGTCACCCGCCACAAGGTCTCTCCATTATGCTAGGAATGGGTGGAAAGGCTGTCTGTTTCCTACTCTGCATCGCCACTTGGGAGGACAATAGGAATAGAGATCAAGCTTTTTCTGAACGTCAGCTTTGTGCAGACAGCTTGTCAACTCCTCATGCTATTTCTCTCCTTTCCCATGAAAGGGCGTGCATGTTACTAGCGGTAATAGCATTGCTCTTGGGACAGCTTTGTGTTCCTGTCCACTGAGAAACTGCACCCTCCATCATTGCTCCCTCCTGGTTCACCTACCCGGAGTCCCAAACCCCTTTGGTCCCTGCAAAACTAGTTCTTATTGAAATAGGAATGGCGTCTTGGCCCATGTGCTATCGCACCATTTATTTATTTCATCAACAAACATTTTTGGGCCTCTGTTATTGACTTGTATCAGTTCTATTGAGATTCCTTAGGCTTGGGTAATTGTCTTTTGAATATTAGATGCCTCCCATAGGCTCATGTGTTTGAACACTCAGTCCCCTGTTAGTGATGCTACTTTGGAAGAATGTGGGACCTTTAGAAAGGAGAGTCTTGCTGGATGAAGTAAATCTTTGAAGGCAGACCTTTGGTTTCTCTAGTCTGCTCCTACTTCCTGCCTAATGTGATTAACTGTCTCGTGCTTCTGCCACTGTGGACCACTTACCTGGACTGTATCTTCCTTCCTACATTGTGTTTGTCAGACATTTTGTCACCACAATGAGAAAAGTAATGGACCACAGAAACATGCTGACTACAGTTTTGGAATACTGGAAGTTCGAGATCAAGGTGCCAGTCAGTCTGTCAAGCTGCTCCTCATTGGTGGTACCTTCTATATGTCCGCACACAGGTGAAGGGCAAACACGCTCCCTCCCAGGTCTTTGCATGTACATACACATGAATGTATGGGCCTGTATGTGTGCAGCATACACATATGTGAGTACATATGTGTGAAGGAATGTATCCGTGTGTGTGCAAGCATGTCAGGGCCAGAAGTCCTCATTGTTTTCTGGGGTGGTTTGCCGCTGGCCTGAACAAAAGCCAAGTAGACTAGGTTGGTTGGTCAGCAAGTTCTAAGAATCTACCTGTCTATCTTCCCAATGCTTGGGATTACAAGAGGATGCTACCCTGCACAGCCTTTATGTAGGTGCTGGGAATCAATCTCAGGTCCTCATGCTCTTGTGGGTGACGAACACTTTACTGACTGAACTATCTCTTCAATGATTCTCTTATATAAGGGTAAATTCCAATCACAAGGACAGAGCACCTGCTAAAAGGTCAACCTCTTAATATTATTGCCTTGAGGAGAAAGTTGTCCATTCCCCATCAGCCCCTTTGAGCTTGGTGCTGGCAGCTTGAGCTGGTAATAGAAGAGCCCTGGCTTCTGGACAAGGGCAGTGCTCCCCCTGCTGTCTCTTGCTGCAAGGTGAGCTGAGGGCTTAAGTGGTTCTCCACCTTCCCGATGCTGCGACCCTTTAATACAGTGGTGACCCCAACCATAAAATTATCTTATTGTTACTTCATAATTATAATTTTGCTAGTTATAAATAGTAATGTAAATATTTGACAAACAGGATATCTGACATGTAACCCCCGGGAAAGGGTCGTTCAGCCCCCAAAGGGATCGTGATCCACAGGATGAGAACTGCTGGCTTGGGGGAGTCCCCGATATCCTGCTTTGACCTAAGATTGAGATGTGGCAGGTAAGCCACATTGCTTTTCTCCTGGTTCTGTTTTATTTATTTTGAGACTGGATGTCACTATGTACACCAGGCTCCTTGGACTCTCAGTCTTCCTGCCTCAGCCTCTTGAACACTGAGATTGTGGGCCTATGGCGAGGCCTGGAAATCTCCCCTTAGCTCTGAATGGCCAGGCAGACAATGGTCTGTCAGGGTGAAGTCTTGCAGATGTGGAAGAAGCTTACACTGTTCCAGAGCTCAAAAGATGCCTGGGTACCTGGTTTTAGAAGGGAGTCCCAGAGCTCTCTGCTTCCACCCCTCATCAGCTCCCCACCCCCATCTCGGCCTATTTGCTCAGGATTAAGTGAGACTTTGGTGGTTGTTTAAGTTTCCAGCTGTTTGAAACTGGGGAAGAGGGGCCTGGATGGGAGGAAGTGGAAGGCATGGGCAAACTCCCCAGAAAAGCACCCCAATCCAGTTGAGACGCCTGAGGGAAGGCATGGTAACACTGCATTGAGATGTGCACCAGATGGGATGGGCAGGCTGTGGGCATCTGCCATCTGTGCTGGCTGTACTGGGAGAGGTTCCATTAGGGGGTGAGGCTAGGGGTAGAGGGCCAGCTTCTATTTCCACATCTGGTACTTAGCTTGAACACAGGTTTGCTTTTGCTAAATGAAAACTATCATTGTGGGAAAGGCTATAATAAATGTAAGCCTGTCTGGATGTTATTCTAAAATTATTGAAGTTAATTAACCCTTACTACAGTGGAGAGGCTGTGTGGAGGCACCCGTAATCTCTACCTACTGGTATCTAACCCTTTATATAACCCCTTCCCCCTGAATGTAACTTGCTCCTAATTAATGAAATCGCAGTGTGAAACACAGTGTTCAGACCAACCCCCAGATAGGTATAGCCAGA